TTGAATGGAATGAATTTTATTCACATTAAAGATGAACGCTGCTATCTCATGCTTTAAGTTCACAAAGATATTGTGTTCTTTAACATATTTAGCCGCTGCTTCGTCTACAACATCATCCATCGAATATTGAAACCGGCGAACAAAGTTGTCGAGTAATGGAGTAGTTTTCCAGGTAGGTTTCCAATTCATACCCTTTTCAAGAGATATGGATTGGAGATGTGGAAGATACATTGGTCGAAGCTTCTTTCAAGAAGTTTTCATTTCTCCAAGAACTTCACGGACACTATCAATATCTGAGTGAGGAGTCGTAATTGATTGGAAAGTGGCTTTCTTCACTTTAGGAGCCACCACAATCTATTTTGATAATCCAAACCAAGTTGCATATATCCTGACCAAATAATCACCATGATCAGGCTTTGCCCTTACGTGTTTTCGTAGTACCGCAGATATGATCTTGGAAATTCCATATAGGGTCAATGAAACTGGAACAGACATGGTGCCATTCTTAGAATAACACCCAGCGTAATGACGCTGATGGGAAACTGTACACTGTTTTAAATACAAAGCAGTATATATAAAACCTGAACGTCGTTTCAGTTTCACGACTATTTTTATGAATTCGCATCCCGCTAGGGCGACCTCCTTATGCATGGACATAAAGACAACTAAAGAAACCCAAAAAAGAAGTCCCTTTAGTTGCCGGGTCTGTTCAAACAGACCCCGCCAAGAGAACTTTTGTGTTCTTTCAACCGCAGTAAAAAAATGCATTATTGTTTTCATAATAGTGTTTTAATATTCTTTAATGCTGACGTCGTAAAACACCATCATAATCTACTCTCCCTATTCATCCAAATAAGTCAGATTCGGGGAGGGGGGAGGGGGGGGTATGGTTCCAACTTAGGAATCAATCAAATTTAATCCACAACCATTATTGTCTTTCTACAATAATGGTATGGATTTGGTTGATGATTGGAGATTACAAAAGTATATTGACTGTTTATGATAATCAATGTTACCATTGATTACCATATATGTCCAACGACTCTTGGTGCTCCATTTCGACACTAACAAATATTTAATTAAACACTCTATTTTGTGCTACGAGAAATTCATTCAAGGAATTTTCCAATTCTTTGACCGGGTCTTGAAAACCTGGATGATGCCATAAAAAAAGAAAAAAAATAGAATAAACAAATGCGTCATACTTAAATAAGTATAATCAACACGCAGTAGCTGGGAAATTTGAAAAACAAGGGAGCAAGATTTTGACATCATAACTTTTTTTATTTTATTATATCACCGGGCTTGGACAATGTCTCCCGAGCAATCTCAATACATATGGCGCAAGACGATTCCACATATCGAGGTCGGAATGGGATCGGGTGTTTTCACGTCTTACCGTAGTGCCCAGTTTGTCTTGATTTTCGATTGATGAACAAGAAGGAAAATGGAACAATTGGATTTTGGATTCACCCCCGGCTACGTATCCTTTGGACCCTTCGCCCTCCCGCCACCAGTGGAAGCAAGTTAGGCCCCTATGTTGGAAAGTTGGGGGAAGAGTTCATTTCCATCGCGAAAGATTTAATCCAGCCACAAGTTCCCCTACGGCTACCTTGTTATGACTTCACCCCAGTCGAAGACCCCACCATGGTATACGCCAATAAGACCACCAAAGGCCTTTGTGGCACTAGTGTGCCACAAAAGTCATGGGTAATCATTGGTCCGATGCTTCGGGCAAAACAAATTCCCAGGGTGTGACGGGCGGTGTGTACAAGGCCCGGGTACATATTCACCGCGGCATGCTGATCCATAATTACTAGCGATTCCAACTTCATGTTCTCGAGTTACAGGGAAAAATCCGAACTGAGGCAATCTTTTTGGATTCGCTCCGTCTTACAGCCTTGTTTCCCATTGTAAATGCCATTGTAGCACGTGTGTGGCCCAGACCATAAGGGCCATGCGGACTTGACGTCATCCCCACCTTCCTGTAGTATAGCACTGGTAGTCTTGCGTTAGTGCGGTACACACCTTTTTGTTTGTTTTGGAGCCGTTTGTTTGAGCGGGGCATACTAAACCCACTACGTACCACACCACCGGGTGGCTCACCTGAATGCTGAGTCTTTCTCCGCCGTGAAATCGACGTCGTCATCACCTGCAAGATAAGGCCAAAAATTTGACCTTACTAAACAAGCGAGAAATGCCTTTTCTACCTTATTAGTCAAGCACACTAGCTGCAATAAAAAAACAACTCTAACTAGAAATAAAAAGTGCTTCGAAAGGCAGCGGCTACCTTCTTACAGACAGCGCAGGTAGGTGCTAGCACTCAATTAGTAGCGCTTCCACGTCACTTGGCTCCTCGACTCACTTCGGTTGCTAAGACTTTCTCCTTGGACGCATGTTTCAGCAACACAAAATGAGGGGTTCGCTCATTATAGGACTTGACCAAACATCTCACGATACGAGCTTACGACAGCCATGCAGCACCTGTATTAAAGTAAGGACCATCCCGTTAAGGACATGTTTTCTTGTTCATAAATCAAGTGCTGGTAAGGTTTTGCGCGTTGTATCGAATTAAAACACATGCTCCACCGCTTGTGCAGGCCCCCGTCAATTCCTTTAAGTTTTGGTCTTGCGACCGTTCTTCCCAGGTGAAGTGTTTCACGCGTTAGCTGGGCATCTGATCCGCGTAGACCAAGGGCGAACACTCATCATTTATGGCATGGACTACCTGGGTATCTAATCATGTTTGCTCTCCATGCTGTTGCACCTCAGCGTCAGTAGGGACCTAGAGAGTTGCATTCGCTTTTGGCGTTCCTTCGTAGATATCCGAATTTCACCCCTACACACGAAATTCCACAATCCTCTGTCTCACTCAATTGAATTAATTTCGAGAGCATTTCGCCAGTTTTTGGCGGATTTCACTTACAACCCGATTCACCGCCTACGTGCCCTTTATGCCCAGTCATTCCGAAGAACACTGCCCCCCCGTCTTACCGCGGCTGCTGGCACAGAGTTAGCCGGGGCTTCTTCCTCGAGTCTTGTCATGATCGTGAACTCGACTAGAGAGCTTTACAAGCGGCATTGCCCTTCTACAGTCACGCGTTATTGCTAGATCGGGCTTTCACCCATTGTCCAAGATTCCCCACTGCTGCCCTCCGTGGGAGTCTAGGCCGTGTCTCAGTCCCAGTGTGGCTGATCATCCGAAAAGACCAGCTAAGCATCATTGGCTTGGTCAGCCTTTATCTGACCAACTACCTAATACTACATAGGCTTATCAAACAGCGCTTTTTAGCTTTCTTCAGGATTTGGCCTGAACTGTTCAACATATTCCTGCGCATTACATACACGTTCGCCACATTGTTCTCAACTCTTCTCACCTCATGGGAGACACAATCTACCTTTAGCTAGGAGCCTCTATTCCTTCTGCCCAGCTCCCCGAAAACAACGTTCGACTTGCATGTGTTAAGCATATAACTAGTGTTCCTTCTGAGCCAGGATCAAACTCTTCTTTTGAGTATGATTGGGCCCTGCAGTGGTAGAACCTGGTTAACCGGGCGTACTATTTCCCAACCTTCTCTGAACTTTTCTTCTTTTATGAATTTTTCTTAAGTAGAGGTTCTTTACAGGTGACCCAGTTGATTCGGCCCCCACTATCCTTAAGAATAAAATAAGATCTCTTGCTTTGCCCACAAGCCCTACTAGTATAGCAAGTCTGGTTGTTGGTGTGTTGTTCGTTCTAGCGGTAGTCTCCAAGCGCGATTCTGATTCTCAATTTGGTTTTATGTTCTGGAATGAATCTGTTCTAAAGAAAGACCTGCCTATACTGAAGAGGCGCTCATTCATGGTAATGTATGGTGGTATCAGTCGAGGCAAGCACAACACTCATTCCCGCAGCCCTTGTTGCAGCTGATAGACTCAAAAGTAAGGGCACGAAAAGCTGTCTTAAACAAAAAACCTTCCAAATGGAATAAGCTACTATAACTTTCTTTGTCATCAAAGGAAAATGGAATCGTTCCTTAGTTCAGGATCTCCCTACTCGTATGTAGGAGGAACTACTGCCTTCCTTCTAATCGGTTCGAAGAGAAAAGGAAATGAAACAATAAAGTTCACTTTCATTGGTGCTTCCCCCTACACGTATATTGGGGCGAGAGCGGGCGCTAACTTCCTAAACATGATTTTCTATGAGGTTGAGGCTGGATCAAAAAAAGAAAGATAAGGAAAGTGTACAAGATTCAAATCGGGCCACATTTTGTTAAGTTGTGGCTAAAAATAAGCCTTGGTGATATATCTTCCTTCTCTTAGGCCCCTAGACCATGATGTATTAGATCCCCATGAATGAGGAAAGGTATTTTCAACTAAGGTCTTAAATTCCAACCCGACGATGAATCTTCTTCCACTCCCCAACCTCTAAGGAGTCGTAGAGCAATGTCTTTATTGGCAGTTGCGCAATCTTCTATTGAAGCTACTTCTGCGGATTACGACAGCACCCAACCTTTGATCAAGGCTCTCACTCGCTCAAGACGTCGATGCGCCACCGGGTTGACCCTTTTCTTACCAGCATGGTGAAGTTTATAGCTAGTCAAAAAAGTGATAAGAAGGTCTAATCATGCTACTTCAGTTGTATGCTTAACACATGCAAGTTGATCAGTTCGCCCTTCAGAAATAGGCTAAGAAAGTCATCAGTTCGAATTTGAGGAAGGGCTTTTTTTTTCCGGTATGCCGCTCCTCCAGCAAGGTGCGAGAGAAAATACCGGTTTATTAATCTATTTATTTTGATTCTTATTTTATTTAGCATCTCTTTATTTATATTTTTTCTAAGGAACTATTTGCTACCCCATTTAGGGATTTTGTGTTCTCAGTTTCTCTCTGGGATTTTGGTTTTTAGTGTCGGGGGATCACTTCCTCTTCCGGGCCCTTCCAGGCAAGCAAGTAGGGCAGATTTTGAAGAGGATCATTTTGGGATTGATGTCCTCTTGGAATCATGGGAAAAGTCTACGTAAATGGGCACGTCGGTGGATCAGCCAGAACCAGAACCAGAACCAGGACATGTGCCGCCTGCTATTCAAGTAGTTCCCCGTGGGAACGAAGCTGGTCCATCGAATCAGCCCCCACGAGTGGTCCCCTATCTGTATCAACAGGATGAAGTGATAGAGAGGGATTCCGTTCAGTCTATCCAGCAGAGGCTCCTAGCAAAATACTCGTATACTCCCCCTATCGGGATCATGTACCTAGCCAAAATAAAGGCAAAAGACCTATTCGAGCTGAAGGTCCAGATTCTAAGGATCATGGCGGTCCTTGATCTAATGGGGGATTGGCTAGGACGGGGAGCTTGGGCCCTCGGGAATATACGTACCACCACGGGAGAGCATTCCTTAGATAAAATCCATACCCTTCTTTCAGATCTCAAATCGAGGGGAATCAATTTCGAGTGCTTCTCTCCATTAAAAGGGAAGGTACCCCTGCGAAGGGGTTGGGACGAGCACTTTACCACATAGTGGAGTGGATAGCTAGGACTACTAAAAATGGAGATCGTGTAGAACAACAATCCTATATTTGATGTCGATTCATCCACACTTCCATTCCTTGTAGAGGAAGGCAAAATCTTTGCTGGCTGGGAGTTGTGTGAGCGGTAACGTCCACGTACGGCTCCGTGAGAAGGGCGATGGAAAGTAATGGCCTTGTTGTACCTCACTATCGTCTTCAATGGGGTCTGCTCTTTCTTTTTTGGGAGAGTATGCCAATATGATCTTAATGAGGTGCCGGGCTTTGCATCTGACATTCGTTGGGCTTCTCTCTTCGGGAGCCTACGCCCCAGCCTTTTTGTGCAATAAACCCCTCCGGACGAAGAATAGTGGTAGGTGGTCCTACGGAGCTTTCAGAAAAAGGGTAACCATATGTGTAAGAACAACAATGTACTGCAGTGAACCATCAGACGACCTATCTAAGATTAGGGGGGATCCTCAATACTGGTGACCCTTTCACTCTTCCACGGACTGATACATGTACCGAATGCTCATAAGGGAAAGTTGACTCCTGGGTCTAGAACGTGGGGGGTTGTTCCGAGAAATCCTTTTTCTCTCGTCCACTCAGGGAAGTGCGAGCACACCTGCGCGATTTACAGGTGACGATTACAAGAATGGAGGGGAAGTTAACAGTACCTGATGACATTCAGGGATGGATGTAGACCCATCAGGCAGGGATAATCATTCTGGTCCTGGTAGAAGTGGCGACCATTCCCAAGAACGAAAAAGAGTGTGCTGAGGGAAGCCATATTAGTCACCGAAACGATTGCAGGAGTGCTCTTTTTTTATCAATAGAGGGAGCAAAAAATGGGCATTGCTCCCCTTTACAATATGAAGAAAGAAAAAAGGGTCAAAGTTTAGACCGCTCACAGTAGTTCTACTTATAGAAAGGATCATGAAAGAGGAGACAACCCATTTATGATTCCAGCCGAGAAGACTAGTAAAAGGAAGGATCAAGAATGTTATATATTTGAGGAGCTAGATTAGTTGGTGATGAACAAGTAAGAATTGCCTCAACCAAAATTGATATAATTGGCCATAAAAAGCCATTCATGTTCCTTATCGATTAGGTATCAGTGGAAATATAAAGATAAAAGAATTAACTAAGTATCAAATCGACCAAATTGAACAAATGATAGGTCAAGATCATGTTGTTCATTGGGAATTGAAGAGGGGAGAACGAGCAAACATCGAACGATTAATTTTGATTTCTTGTTATTATGAAATTCGTCATCAAGATAGATCGCCCATACGCGGTCAACGAACCCATACTAATGCTAGGACTTGTAGCAAGCTAATTCAGAAATGAAAGAAGTCTATCGAAAGCCCTTGGTACTTATCTGATCAATCACACTGATAGCTTCAATATTTCACTGAAATTTATGTGAATGATCGTGACAGCTCTTCAAATCCTATTCAGTCTGATTAGATATGTCACTGAAACAAAGTGATTCCGCTCTGTCACTCTTTTCTTTTCGGATTCCAAGGATAAGCCGGCCGATCCTAACATCATTTATGAGGAGCCGGACGACCAAGCCTCCTCCTCAGATAAAGATGTCTCTGACGCTACTCTACTGGCAAGAAGAAATTTTTCTGTTGTGATTTGTTTGGCGGGTTCGGTCAGGAGGGAAAAAAGAGAGATGCTTTCTGTTAGTCAAAAGCAGATATTGCCCCCCATGCTCCCACGGTCCGCTTACTGAGGAATAGAAAGGATGGACCCGGGGCCAGAGCAAGTTGGGTTGGGTTATAGAGCCATAAGCGCGGTGGGTGTTGACAGAGGACGTGCTCGTACGGTTCATAGAAGGATATGAAAAGTACTTATTTGTTGGGAACTTTTACTCCTCTATATTCAAAATATGCCTCTGTAGGAGCATTACGATCTGCAGCTCAAATGGTCACTTATGAAGTCTCTATTGGTCTTGTTCTTATTGTGCGCCTTGTGAGCGCGTTTGGATCCGCGAAGGAAATCACTCGGATGTTCCCCTAACCCAACCCAGGAACAGAACGGAGGAAACCGCAGCATGGGGAATGTCCGCGTCTCGTCGGAAGGCTCATTTTTTGTTGTGGGTCATAAGGCGGGCAACTTTATCTGATCAAGGGTCAGGGCACAAGGGTCCTGGTACTATCCAGGTGCGAAGAACCCCAGAGATGACTACAATGAGCAGAAAGCTCACTCACGGGCCTAAACAACGAAAAAATACTCGAACGTGAGAGCAAGGGATCACCCAACGAATGGACAAGCTCAAAGGGGGTAGGGAGGCAAGAACCATGCTTTGAGAGACCTAACCCAATCCGGTCCGAATCTTTTCTGAACTGCGAGAATAACTGACTAAGCCGTGCCATAAGGGGTCATTCACCAAACACGACGGGGCCAAGCCTTTTGGTTGTTTAAGTAGGTTGGGTGATAGATCGGCCATAGGAGTACTCCAGGATATAAACCAGGGCAACAAAAGTGGAGCATACGACGATGCTGCCCGTTTTCATTTCGTGGAAGTCCCCGGCAGAGGAAAGGGTTGTAGGTGATGGCGCGTTCTGCTTCTTATCTAGAGAGGGCCGTTCATCCACTTGACTGTAAGGAGAGGGGCATTGAAATCCTTTCTATTGGTTCTTGCTTAGCAGCTGGTATAGATGATGAAAGGCGGGCCGTTTTTTCGGGACCTATTCTCTTAATAGGTGGCAAATCGAAATAGGAAAGGGGTCGGACTGACTGATGATTGCCCTTTTAGCCTTTATTCAAAAGGCTCTCATGTAGGGCTAACATGGCTGGCTACATACAAGTATAGCCAAATCAAGATGAGATGGGATGGCCGTTCAGAGGCCGCATCGGGACTACCATAGGAAAGCATACCCCCGCTAGCTAACATAGAAAGAGATTCCCGGATAGCAGTAGTCTCTATGTGAATCTCTTCCCAACCGGCCGGGACGAATCGGGACATCACTTGGGATGGGAATGGCTCAACCCACAAGGATCATTTGATGAAAGCACTCCAGTTGCCTCCAATGATTGGTTTGTCAACCACGCTTTCTCTCCCTCAAAACAATGCTCCTCACCAAATGCTCTTCCTTGCGTTAGGGCAACACAACAATGAGTAGTTCGCTCTAGGACCCTACCCCCTCGAGAGCAAGATGCCGGCCGAGATGGAGCTGGGAGCTAACCTAGACTTTCCTGGGGCTTGCCTTACCTCAACATCTAAATAAATAAAGGACAGGCGCCGAAAAGGAACCAGCACTGCCTCTTCAAGAAAGCTTTGCCTGTTAGGCGCTTCCCACTCACTCGGACAATGCTCTGAACATGAAATTGTTCATTTCTGCCCCCTTCTCCCATACTGAGTCACAGGAAGTGCCTCGGAAAGCGCAAGCGAGCCACATGTAGGGAAACTTGAACGTGTGGTTCGGTATTTCCTTGTTCCCTATATTGGTTATGTTCTATATATCTCGTCTAGAAAACACTAAACGAGCTCCGTTTGATCTCCCAGATATGAAAGTTGAATCAGTTGCAGGCTATAATGTAGAATATGCGCGGAATGCGATCCTTAATAGTTCAGTATTGGCGGAAGCCAATGTCCCGGGGTCTCGGGGACTCATTCTGATTGAAACAAGGGGCGGGTCTTTACCAACTTCCAAATATTCTATTTTAGGGAAAAGGTGAGCGCCTAGCGCGAAAGGTTGCTTTACTAAGTAAGATAAGGCAAGAAGCAAGGGCGCAGCAGCTGCATGAAAGCCCTTGCATCTTAGTGCATCCCTTTTCTTGCTCGTTAGTTCTTAACTAATAAGATAAAAAGCGCCTTTCTTGCTTGTTTAGTAAAGTCCCGCTTTTTTATAGGAGTAGGTTCTTGCTAAGGCAGGGCACTTTTCATTCTTCATTCGAAACTAACAAGTGTCGGGTCGGGGATTTCTGCCTTGTTATCAAAAAGGGAGTTGGGTAAAGCAAAGTCTCTCCTTGGAGGAGCACGGGTTTAGTCAAGTAGAATCGGGTTTTGCTGCTTGATTCTCTGATCGAAAACAAATCAGTGGGGCCATACCGATACGACTGAATATGCATTAGAAAGGTCAATCCCTCCTCTACGACCCCAAAAAAACCGGGCCAAACTTCTTAACCGCCCGCTTCCATAGAACAATATCGTGGCAACCTAGACCTAACTGGTCATATTGGATACTTGGGAACCATCACAAGTACGGCCGGCCTATATATATTTGAACGAAAATACCGTGTCATCCAGTGCAGCCTAGAAGAAGGTGATTCGTGCAGACAACTGACTCTCTTTCAATAGAAATGAATAGCCAAACCAACCCAGCTGGCTGGTCAATCTCAGAGATCTTATCGACCGGCAAACCGAAGACGGACCACCACGGTCCCGGCCTTACCAGTACCGGAGGTGTACTAATCAATGAACCCACGAAACCAACTTTCTTTTATGATAAAATAAACCAAGCCTAAGCGGTCACAACATCTTGTTGATATTGATTGAGTTGGAGGGACTTTCGCTGACTGAATCCATCCATAAACCTATACCGCGGTAACCTTCGTAACCAAAGCGTCACGAGAACATCCAAAGATGACCTTTGGGTTCTTAAGTAGGGGGGCAAGGAGGAGCACGTAGGAATGCCGACCACTACATAAACCACTAGTGGCTGTGAGAAAGAGAGCAGCACCTTGTATAGGTTGGGCGGAGCTTAAAGAAGCAAGTCCCTATCAGAGAAAGCCATTGCGCGCTAGCCTAGCTAGCTAACGTTTTTCAGCTGGCTGTTATTTTAGTTGTATTGCGCCTTCTCTCCTTCTCTCACTTTGGAAAGATTTTTCCGTATTATCTTATGATGACCTGGTCGAGAGAGTACGATACATCGGTGTAAAAGATTTCCTTTTTTTTGTGAGCTTGGTTTACACCGAAGGGTGCAATAGAACTTGAAGGAGAGGAATAAATACCTGGTCTATAATTTTGACAAAAGGAGGACCACTATTGGGAAATATCTTCTTGGCGTTATCAAAAAAGTTGACGTCCCGGGCTTCCTCTTTCCCTTTAAAATAAAAGCGGTGAAGTCCATCCTAAAGTTCCAAATCTACATCCAACACTAGAGGTTCCTGATGAGAACAAATTATAAGGTGTTGAAAGGAACCCTTAAGAAAGATGTCAAGACCCTCTTTGACTTTGA